GCCTTTATTTGGATTAGGGCTGCACAATATATTGCAAAAATATAGTCATCGTAATGTCAGTGTGCGCGATATCCATATCGCAAAGGACTGCTTGGAGTGCAATAATTGCTGCCTAATGTATTCGAAGAACTTTGAAGTTGTATTTTTCATGCTAATGCAATATTTAGCCAATAGGATCGAGTTTCACAGCAGCAGAAGCTCACATACGACACGAATGGCGTTGCCAAAAGGTGCTAAAATTCACAGAGTAGGAAGTAAAGTTTAGAAAGGGAGAAATTAAAAAGCTGGGATGAAATAAGAGTAATGACTTTCTACTTCTTATATTTTTAAATGTAAGGAGTAAAAGTAAAAAGTCAACTAAAAACATTACTACAATAAAGTACAGATAACCAAAATTACTTTATTTTACAACTGTGTTCACCACTGAATGCTATAAAAAAATCATTACGCTTCAGATTTTTGAAATGGAAAATAATTATGTAGGTACAACATGAAATTGTAAATAATTATCACGAACAAAAGTGTTATTTGAACCTTCTTTGCATAAAACAAACAAACAAAAAAGGTCACTTTCAGTGTGTGTGCAACAGAAATGTCACTATATTCATGTTAGAAGTGTCCCATACTCCAACATGTGCCACAGCTAGCTGCTGCTATATGCACTTGAATATCATTTTAAAAAGATTGTGTAAATAATTGTGCGATGTGTATTTGTTGGCAACATAAAGGTTTTCAATGTTCACACAAACTGCTATGAATTTTATTTAGATCAGAGTTAATTTAAGATTGCAGCAATCCACTTTGGTGTCAGATGGGCTGGCTGATGACTCATAAATCTGGTTAAAATTACAATTTCTCCAAACTGCCATTGTTCAACCATCTATTTTCAACAAGTAAGAASCTTCCTACAGAGCACCACTTCCAAATATCAGAACAGTTTTTGTTGAACATCTTTGAGAGAAACCAGTTTTTGGGGCGCATCGTCTCTGTTGGGTGCTTGACATTAGCTTCTATTTGGTGAAAAACAGAGGCCAAAAAAATTACATTATATAGGCCAACTATTTATTCTGTCTTTTGTACGGCACAAAATAATGAGCCCCATTGATTTCCGAGAGCTCCTTTCATGTATCCGTGATAAATATTTGATGATGAGTGTGAAGGCCTCGTCGACTGAGATGGAAACTGAGGCCTGCAGGGATAATAAAGGAGCGGTGGGTGTGTGTGTTCCAAAAGCATACGGACCAGAGAGTAGGAAAGTGTGTGTGTTTGTGTGTGTGTGTGTAAAGAAAAGGTGCAGTAATGACCCCCATCGACTCACCCCCTTCCACCCACCATTGATAAATAATTGACCAAAAATCTGCCAGTCWGAGCKAACTGGTGGCATATTACAAGGCCCTGGGCATGGTGGTGTCACCTCAATCAAGAGGCATCCACTCATGTGCATCATCTCCAGGGATGGGGGAAATATTGGTTGAGGGAGGTATTTTGTGCGAGTTCAAGTGTGGGGGGATGGAGGGATGCAGAGCAAACAGAATCACTCTCGTCAAAGCATCACTGCTATGACCATATAAGGACACGAGCTCTGCTTTAGGCAGCAGATTGGTGGCTCCTTCACGCTCATCCGTCGGTGGATTCAGAGTCATCTGGAGAGTGGGTCTGTGACATCATCGTCCCAAACACCAACAGGTACAAGTTACAACGATGCAACGTGAAATAAAACCTATTCCTGAAGAAACGTTGAGACAAAAATGACTTCCTATATCCAGTTATTGATCGCCACCAAAAGCAAAAGGTGTGGCGATGCTATTGCCAGTGGCTGTGTTAGTATGTAACGTTTGCAAAAATACCTCATAGATCATGGATCAACCAATGAAAATCTGGATCGGGACATCCCTAGCTGACATCTGTTTAAAAATTACTGATGTTTTGTCCTCCAGTTTGAAAGACACAAGAATATTTTAAATTTATTATTAAGATAAAAGTCCAAAACCTACCATCCGTGTCTATGTGGAGGTGAAGCTGAGGTCATGTCATGGCTAATTTACACCTCTCCGAGGCTGCTATTTGTGCTGAACAATCATGCTTTGAGACAATAAAGCCTTTAATAGTCACATGTATTTCAACAGTATGGCTGTAATAAAAGTGTCCTGCCTGCAGTCCAGAACAGTCATCTAACAAAAACATTCAGTACTCTAAAGCTTCTGTTGAATCATTGTCCTGTACAGGGTTCCTACAGTTTAAAGCAAGTTAAATTTAAGACTTTTTAAGACTTTTTAATGCCAAGTGAAATTAAATTTAAGACCAATTTCATAATAAACACAAATGACAAAAAAATAAATAAATAAAAACTGGCAGAAACTCAAGAATCAAAGTATTTTTGGTTGAAGTATTCA